AAATTTTATGATGACAACACAGCAGATTTTAGGCATTGGAGGGTAGGCAGTGCAGGACTGGAATCTTCAGGGAAAAAAATGATACAAATATTGTGCGTGACATCATTGCTCTGAATTACAGTATAGGAGAATAAAGATTTGTAGAAGTCACAGCAAATAAAAATTAGAACACTGGGAGAGAGAAGAAAGACAAAGAATTGCAGAAATGTCTATACAAACCTGGGGCTCAGTTCTGTTCCACACAAGTGTCACCAAAATCTTCCCAAGGTTTTGAGAGGAGCCACTGGAAAACACTGTACCATACAATTACTTGAGCTTACACAGGGCAGACAATTTTGTTTTCACCTGCCAGAGTCAAACACCTATCAGTACACAAAATATCAGATAAAACAATCTTCAGAAAGATGTCACCAAGTAAATATAGACTAAACACTGCTGTTTCTACGCTGAAAAACTTTCAAAGCAAGAGGAGAAACTGCGGCCAAGTAATTTTACTGAATGCTGTTATCAAAGTTCAAAACTATTTAAAGACACAATAAGCCGGGGATTTAGCTCAGTGGTTTCTCCGCTTGGCACAAGGACCCAAGTTTGATCCCCGGTACTGGTAATGGAAAAAAACAAAAACAAACAAACAAACAAAAGACACAATAAGCCTATAAATTGGGCTCATGGCCATGCTTTTAATCTGTAAATTGTGTTTTCTCCCAGACTTCCACTTTCAAGAAAGCAGCAGTATTAGTAGGCCAGTATTTCTCAATTTAAATACATGTGAATGTGTTACATTCTAACACAGCCCACATATGGGTAACCTGACAGTAGATATATACATCCTAGGTCACTCATCTTGAAGACACCCCGAAGACCACATAAATATACCTAGCTTCAGGCCACAGTGCACCTCTCCCTTGAGGGTCACCACTCTATTATTCTGTGTGTGCTTTAAAAATTCTCCTAATAAACCTTTTTATGTGTCTCATTGAGACATCTTGAAAATTCTTTTTCTGTGACAAAAGTCAACAAACCTGCAACCTATCCCACGGGTAGGGTGAGTTGAGGTCCCCGTGTTTTCTATTTGGGGGAACCTATTCTGATTCTAAACAGTGACAAGAGCAATGTACATGTAATACTTAGTGTACAAGTAATACTAACTGAATATCAAAGAGGACATAAGACAGACAAAAGGATGTTAACTGGATTTCACCAAATCCAAGGGTGCTTTACAAATATGACTGAGGCCAAGGAGCCTCTGACGGTGGGCCCAAACTAGGGGTGCTCCAAAATTGGAAGCACAGCAGCTTCTCAGGGGCACTGACAAGGAACATTTCCTCAACTGGTGTGACTGAGGAAAGCGGCAAACTAGTTTCATTAGCTTCTTTCTAACAATGTCCAGTTATTCTTTCCCCACTTGGGGATGGGGTGAACAAGAGGACAGTTTTGTCTTTCCTAGTTGGTTCAGACTGCCACAGGCTCAAAAGATGCACCAGAGGAATCTCTCATACTTGTAGTTCTTCCGGCAGGATCACTTCTTAAGTAGCAGAGAGCTAACATGCAAGAACCCTATTTCCTTCTCATTGTGGTTTGGGCAGAGCCCCACATGCCATTTTCCTCCTACTGTATGGGGGAAGCCATACCAGAGGCAGGTAGACCCCTTTTCCCATTACCTGAAACTTTAAAGCTAGATTGTGGAACACTTTACTTTCTCCCAAGGATCAAATATAGAACAACAAAGCCTTCTTAGGGACAGTTTGTTGCTGTGTGTAAATAAGTGCTGAGATTGGGAAATTCTTTTTTTTGGTACCGGGGATCGAACTTGGGTCCTTGTGTTTGCAAGGCAGGCAACAGAACCACTGAGCTAAATCCCTGGTCCGGGAAATTCTTATACTAGTGAAAAATAAGTCAAAATGGGTGCAGAATGGTCAAAGAAAAGCATAAAAAATTGTAAGCCTCAGAAACTTACTGACAGGGATAATTTGCTGCATAGACACTGCCCTGTCAGGAGCTGAAAAAGAAACAGTTTTCAGTCCTTTATCAATATCTTTGTCTTAGTTACTTTTATAATTGCTGAGACAAAAACACCTGACTCCCTCAAGTTAAAGGAGAAAAAGTTTATTTTAGCTCACAGTTTCAATCCATATTTGGGTGGCTCCTAGGCAAGGAGTATGGCAGAGGAGAAACGGTCCATGGTAGGGCAGGTAGAGGGCAGCAAAGCAGCAAGCCTTCCTTTCCCTTCTATCCTATCTGGGCTACAAGTCTATGGCATGGTGCCACCCACACCCAGGGTAGGCCTTCCTATTACCCACACCCAGAACTGTGGTAACCCAATCAGTGGAATAATTAAGTTATCACACACCCTTAATCCATATTTACACATACTAGATTCAGCCACCTCCAAAATGCCCCACCTATTAGTGCATGAGGCTTTAGGGGGACATCTAGATACAAGCCATAACAGTCCCTTGGCCTTAAATGATTCTAGGGTAACAAGTCTGTCCTTGGCACAGATATTTCAATGGATTAAAAAAAATCTCTAATCACTCTGATTTACATCAGTTTCCCACCACCTGGCTGGCTCACTCCTTGCTTATCTTCAAAGAATGCTGAGCTGAGCTTTTCCAAGAATACTGAGCTACCTATCTCACCTCTTCTATTTTTTCTGAACTGAAGCTTCAGTCTTATTTCACCCTCAGTTTCTAACCTGAATTTGTATATTGCAATTTGAAGATCTATTCTGCTCCCAAATAAAACTGTGTTTAACTTTAACCTCCTCTGTGATTTTTGATTCATACTGGTACATCATGTAGAATCTAGGGACTTGTACTTTACAAACCCAAATACATATGCCATGATGTATACGTAAGGATGTTCTTCACTCTTTACCTGAAAATTTGAGCACAAATCAAATGCTCATCACAGGAAGATTGCTTAAATCTGTTAGCGTTATAATTCCTAATGTTGCTGGTTGTGGTGGCTCATGCCTGTAAACCCAGCATTTGGGAGGCTGAGGCAGGAGGATCACTGCGAGTTCATAGTCTATTTCATATTCATAACTCATATGAAATAGTCTGTCATATTTGTTTAAAATGAGTTTACTGATGTCTATGATTTCAATTTTACCTTACCCTGGGTTTCTCCTTCTCAGTCTCTATTAATCAGAAGGCCTCAAAAAAAAAGAAGGCCTCCATCCTTTCTGTTAATAGTGTAAGTCAGGGCCTGGGATTTAGCTCAGTGGTTTTGCCTCCTGCTGCGCAAGCACAAGGACCCGAGTTGGATCCCCAGTACCCGCCCCCCAAAAAGTGTAAGTCAGCCAGGTGTAGTGGCACATGCCTATAATCTCAGCACTCAGAGAGCTGAGGCAGAAGGATTGCCACAAATTGGAGGACAGCCTGGGCTACCTAGTGATTTGAAGGGCAGCCTGAACTACATAGTGAGACCCTGTCTCAAAAAGAAAAAAAGCATCAACAGTGAAGAATCCGTATATAAGACATTCTAGATGGACTAGACAGAGATGTTATATCTTAAATGTAGTGTAAAGGGGTTCCAAAGAATTAGTAATTCAGATCTTGTCTTAAATTAAAATTATATAATCTAGAAGGCACTTTCAGCCAAAAATACGAGGAAGGACAGATAACAAAAACAAAGCAAACCAGGGGCCAAGAATTTAGCTCAGTGGTGGTTCTACCTGCCTCACAAGTGCAAGGTCCTGAGTTTGATCCCTGGTACCAAAAAACCCCAAACAAACCAAAAAACCAAAGCAAACCAAAAATACCAAAAATCAAACTGAGTGAACAATTGTAAAAAATTTACAAAGGGATCCACAAACTCTTCAGCAACTGTTACTTTTAGATACATAATATAAAGCAAATATGCCTAGCCTTGAAAACAACCTTGAAAAATTGAAATTAAAAAATCCCCTGGAGAAGAAATTATGAATGGAAGATCGCAATAAAGTACACAGTCTGCTACAGAGATTGAAAGATAGAAATGACAGAGGATTTAAGATGCTTGGAGGATAAAGATTGGCAAGATCTGACCTATGATAAACTGGAGTTTGCAAAGAAGAGAAAGAAAATGGCAGAGACAAATATGAGAGAATAAAAGTTTGCTGAGCATAGCACTTCACAGATTCAAGTTGCTGAAGAAAGCTCAAGTAGGAAAAAAAATTAAAGAATTTCATAACCAGAAACATTATCCAAAATTGCAGAAAACACATCCAATTACTGAATTCAGAGTCCTAAAGGAGGGATGGTACCTTAAGTCACTTTCCAAATGCTGGAACAAAACACCCAACACCCACAATTTAAAAGGGAGAATTGCTTTGGCTCAGTTTCAGTCCATGGTCACCAGCTCTAAGACAGAAATGGCACAGCAGAGGGATATAGCAGTTGAAGCTGCTCACATCATGGTGGTCAGGAAGCAGAGCAACAAGGGAGGAGAAGGGAGGGGGAGGTACCCTTCCTTGTAATTCATGCTTGTAATGACCTCCTCTTCTACCAGGCTCTACCTCCTAACAGCACATTCAGCTATGACCCAATCACCTTCCAAAGCCCCATCTCAGCACATGAACCACTCGGGCGCCATTCTAGATTTAACCCATAACAAGGGGGGGGGGCTGTCCTCGTATTCTTGTCTCTCCACTTTTTTTTTTTGTAGACACACTGCCTTTATTTGCAAATATATAGATGTATCTCAAAGGCAAGAAGTGAAGCTAACACTTGAACGTTAGGGAAGCTGCACGTTACAGGGTAAAAAGCTGACAAACAATGGGTAGACGGGCACACATGAGGATTTCTGCCTTGCTCCGCCGCCTCGTGCTCATGCCCCTGCCTTAACAATGCAGCCTGGTGGGAAGTGTTAAGAGCTCAGTGGTATGTGGAAGGGGAGGTGACGGTGGGGACAGGAGGGCTGTTAGCTACAGGCTCCCGATTTCAGAGTAAAACCGGCACTGTCCACTAAAGTGAGCATATAAGTAGATTAATCACACAGGCAATCATCTTTTCATATAAATTATAGTGAAAATAGGATTTATATACCCTTAACTGATTTTTAAGATAAAACAATCATTTCCTCAAGTCAACAGTGATGATGTTGCATGGAATTTTCTATTTGAAGCAGCTGTAATTTTAAAGCTGTATCTTTCAGTTTGTTCTAAGCTTTCAGGATTATAAAGCGTATCTCTGTGTTACAAAGTTCTACCCAACAGACAAGTGTCAGAAACTATTGTAAAGACATGGTTCTAAGTAAACCGACCGGAGTCCGAACAGAGGGTGTAAACAGTCGGCAAAGTATCTCCCTATGTATCCATCCATTCTCAAACACTCCATTATCTAGTCGGTATTCCTCCATGCTTTTAAGATGATTTTTAACATCATTAACAAAGTCCGCGAAGGTTTTCTGATTTGTGAGCCCATTTGTGATACACTGATCGATGATTTCATTAAGCTCTTCCCAATGATGGAAAGTGCCCAGTTCTTTTAGTAAGGGTCTTCTGATTACTTTCTTAAATTCAGCTACCAGCAAAGGACTCACCACCATGTTACAGGGGCTCAAGGGCTCTGGCTGCGCGCTTTCAAAGGCGTGATGCCCAGCCTGCCCGGGGCAGCGGCAGTCTCCCTGCCAGCCATCTGCAGCGCCATCCCTGTAGACGAACGTGGCTCCTCCGGCCTACGCCCAGCGAGCTCCCTGTTCTCGGCTCCCATTGCTGTGCACGCTGGGGCTGCGGTGGTTCTGGTTTGGGGAAGGCGCCTCGTGCTGTGGATGTGAATGACCGCTGAAAACTGGCTTTTTTTTTTTTTTTTCAGCCTCCGCTTCTTTTGTAGCCCCAAATCTTTTATTGGCCTTTTCATCAAAGATAGTCTTAGTGATATCTTTAAAATGTCGGAAAGTGGATTTAACTGACTCTGAGAACTTTTTAAGATTTTCCTTCACAGCTTCTCTAGCTTGCTTAATTTTTTCTTTATGATGCCTCACAAACACCTTGGTAGAATTCTTCATGGCATCAAAGGTTTCCTTAACTGTTCCCAAAAACGTTTCCTTTGACTTACTCTTGGCCCTGCGGCTTCCTCTGCCCGCCCTCTGCTTTCCGGTGTCTGGTTTTCCATTCTGGTCTTTGGCTTCAATATACAGCCTTTCCCACAAGTCAAAGCGGTGCTGCTCAAAGTTCAGCTTCTGCTCCAGCTCACCGAGTCTTTCCTGTAGCAGTGCTATTTCCTTTTGCTCTTGGGGAGAATCTGACTTGGCCTGCTGCTGACCAGTCTGTAGGTGCACAATTTCCATCCGTAAAGATGCTGCTAATTTTTGTTCTCTCTCCAGTTCACTCCTTAGCATTTTTGTTTCTGCCAGCAGAATCTCCCTTTGATTAAGAAACCTGTGTGTTTTCTGTTCTGCATCCTCCAGATGCTGCTTAAGCTTCTGATTTTCTATGACCAACTCAGCACTTGTACCTCTCCCCTCCAATATTCTAATCTGCTCCCTTAGCTTCCGCAGCTCTTCCTGGACTGAGCCCGTGGTGCGCTCTCCCTTCTCCAGAGACGCCCTCGGGTGGTGACTGTGCTTTCTCTGAGCTTCGAGGGACATCTCCGCGGCAGTCAAGAGTCGACACCTTCCGAGACTTTCTTTCAAAATCTTCACCTCCGGAGGGGCCCCCTGCTGGGGATGCCGGGCCAGATGCCCCACCGTGTCGCTCACTTCATTCCCAGGTGTCTTTGGGACTAACTGCTGCCGTCTCTCACTCTGAATTGTGCCATAGAAATGTCCAAGCCCCATGCTGACAGCAATCACCCCATCACCACGGCGAGCACGACACACTTGTTGAGACCCCCGCTGAACTGGCATTTCTGCAGCTCCGAGAGTGGCGTGGGGTCCTGGTCGGCAGGCGGCTGCTCCTCTGACTCTGAGCCAAATGCAGTCTTCCTTCTAGCACGGCGCCGGCGAAAGGCGGGACTGGGCTGATCGCTGGCCTCTTCACTGCTTGACCCATCGTGGCCACGCTGAGATGAAAACACAGCTTCCGGCTGACAGAATGTGTACTGGCTGCTGGAAGAGGAGCCCATGAAGTCCTGTGAGGCGGGCGTCTCCTCTGCAGTCACAGCGTCTTGGCTTCCAGCGTCTTCTAACTTAGGCGGCTCAAGGGTAACAATATCAGAGTCATCACTGGCAGCTCCACAGTAGATGTTGTCTTCAGGTGACTTTTCTTCCTCTGTCTCAAGGGCGAGATCGAGACCCGCAGTTTCGCCCGTGAATGATGGGCCGTCCTGGCTGCTTTCTCCCTGCTGGGACTGCAGTTCCGGCGGCTCCCGGCCCAGCTCGCAGCTGTCCGCGCTCCTGACGGGTGTCACCATCTCCGCATCGGAGCCCTCACGACTGATGATGATCCAGCCGCAGGAGGAGTCGCTGTCGCTGGAATTCTCAGACATCGCTCAGGTCTGAAGCGGGCGCCTCCGCCCCCGGCGCGCTGTCACGGTGGCAGCGGAGACCCTCGGGGCCGGTGACGCCTCCTGAAAACAACCTGCTGGCGGCGGCCGCGGTCGGAGGCGGGGCCTATCCCTGCACTCTTAATATTAAAATTTTCTATGTAACCTGTATTTTAATATTAAAAAGATTATTTTTCTAAAAGAACATTGACCAAAGGACACGCAGTTCTCAAAGAAAGAACTACTAGGGCCAACAGACATAAGAAAAGATTCTCAATCTCATTAACAATTTAAAAAATCCAAACTAAAACACAATGAGTTGCAATTTCACACCCAGCAAATTGTCAACATTTGGAAGTTTCACAAAATTGAGTGCTGGCACTAAATGGTTGGCAGCCAAGTTGGTACAACTTTTGGGAAACAGTTTGTCATTGTATAATAAAAGTCATAGATGGGAAGATACTTTCACTGGCAAACCTTTTCCTTATTCCACAACCTAAGCTTTGAGAGAATGCCAGTTGATGCTACTTTAAAAAAAAAACAAAAAACAAAAAAAACTATGACAGCTATAGTAATTAAATATCACATCCATACGTTATCCCAACAAAGAAACACTAATATCATATACAAAAGCACTTGTCATGTACAAGAAAATTTATAGCCATATAATTTTTTAAAGTTAAAATTTAATTTACAATTTAAAAAGACAGTAAACAACCCAAATTTGCAACTATAGTAGATTTACTCTGGCCTACATATATATGTCCATTGACCCTTGACGTAGGCTGGGGTAAAGGGACAGTCAAAGAAGGGGTTCTGGGGACAGAAGTAGATGAGGGTGAGAGTTACAGGAGAGACTCTTCCCAGGATGATGACTATTGTCCTCAAAGCGCTCACTGGAGCACTAGTTCTCCGACAGCGCGTAACGCACACCAACCAGAACGGGGTCAGGAGATGATCACATGAACTTCCGGGTAATGTCTCGGTTGCTGGACGACTATTGTGGCAATTCGGCCACAGGGCATTCTTGGGGTCTATAGTCGTGTGCAAGCAAGCGAAAAATACTCAAAAGAACTGGACAGGGGCTGGGCAGCGTTGCAGCAAGGTTCTGGATGAGAGAGGACATTGGTAGAAAACACAATGTTTCCCACGGATCAGCAATGCCTACTCGGGGGTGGGGGGTGGGACAAAGCGCTATCAGCGGCCTATCGAACGACCCGGAAGTTCTTGTCGCGGCCGCATGACTTTCTGGGAAATGTAGTTTAGCGGTCTGGGCGCCATCGGTTTTGCAACGCAAACAGAGGGTCGTCCTTGGATCTGACAAGTATCGTTCACAAGAAGACACCGTGTGCTCTCGACCGTCGCACGTGTGTCCTTGTTGACCCGCTCGGGGTGGGACGATATCTCCGGGAGGTATAATTCCTTAGAAAGCCGAACCAGACACGCTGCCGCAGAGACTCCCGGTTAATGTGGTTTTCCAGAGTGGCTACCGTTCGCGGTGTCGGGAACTTTTGTCCCGGATGCGGAGGAGTCTGGGAAAGTTCGGTCAGTTACAGACAAAGCCTTTGGCTCGTCCTGCAGTGGCGTCTGGCTCGGAGATGGGCGCCCCGAAACAGCTGGGGTCCTGAGCAGTGTAGTCTTGGGAGGCTGCAAACGTTGTCCGCGCAGCAGTGACCAGTGCTTCGGAGCTTGGGTGCCGGTGAGGTGCGGCTGAGACTTCCGGCAGGTGTGGGTCCTAGTAGGGAGGCGGGCGGGCTGGTTTGGGACTTGGCTTTTTCCGGCCTCCCTGTCCTGCTCTGTAACGGTGGAGTAAGGACCGCGTTTACCTCTCAGACATGTTGATAGTGAAAACGAAGTAGGCGGAGTGTTAAGTAGTAAGCACTCAAAGTAGACGCCACCTGCAGTTTTCATGTTAGAGGCTGACGCTTTCCAGGTGTGTAACCTTGATTAAATGCTTTAAATATCCCTTAGTTTCAGTTTTGTCATCGTTTGCAAAATAAATCGGGAATAATATGAATGACATAGTAGTCAAGGTACAACAGGCTATTTCACATTCTTACTGTTGTTTTATGAGTCTGTCTGATATACAAAATAGTTGATTTTTCTGGCAGGTGACACCAGGTAAATGGTTACCCCGTGCCGGAAAACAGCTGGTTAGTTCACAGGGAGAGATTGGAGCCCCGGAGAGTGGTTACCGGTGTGCTTTTCCGTTGTGGTGTGTCACAGAGCTGTAAGATAAACTTATTTTTCCCTCCCTGCCCTTGCTCTATCTTTTCAAGACACTACCCATCTATGAGCCGGGAGTCTGGAAGGAGAACAGTTGTGAAGTAATGTCTCAGGTAAGTTAGTGTCCTCACATCTTACTGCAACACTCTCTTATCCAAGACTCTTTGAGTGTTCACTTTACTTTTCCTGACAATTCCCACCTAACAAAACCTATTTAGGGACTGGATCTTTAGTTCCTTTCATTGTAGGAACTTTACCCACGCGCCTCTTTTCTTTTCTTTTTTTTTTGGTACCGGGGATCGAACTCGGGTCCTTGCGCTTGCGCAGCAGGCAGCAAAACCACTGAGCTAAATCTCCGGCCCTCGTGCGTTATCAGTTTTATGCTAGAACTCTATAGAGTCTTGAGGCAAAGTTCTTTTTTATTACAACTCAAAATATAAGTTTGGAATTTTAGCTTGTTTGAACTGTGTCATGTGATCGCAATTAATGATATATCATTCCCACCAGTTGTTCAAGAGATGTGTGAAGTTTTCCTTTATTCTTCCTTTCACTTATAACTCAACATCCAGATGCTCTAGTTAGATCTAAAATATCAACAATGTATATAGAATCTGACCATTGGTTGCCCATTACTGCCAATCTGGTCCAAGCTACCCGTCTTACTGCCATAACCTCCTAGCTAGATTCTCTACTTCTGCCTTTTAACTTTGTGTAGTTTCTTCTCAATACAGCTGTCACAATAATCCTGCTATATGAAATACTGTCATTTTTCAACTCAAAACATTTCTGTGGCCCTAACTTGGAAATCAGAATTTTGCAGTGACATAGGAAGCCCCCTGTACAAGAAGGCTCTTATCTCTCTGATCTCACCTTCTTCTCTGCCTCCTTTGCTCCAAGGGCCCCAGCCATTGCCTCCAGGCCTTGGAAGTGCAGTAACATCTTCTTGGAATATTTTCCCCCAGATATACACAAAATCGCATTACCTTCTTTGTATCTTTGTGTAATGTCTAAATAAAGTACCTATTTAAAATTGTAGGGCAGGGATTAGCTCAGTGGTTCCAGTGCCTGCCTCGAAAGCGCAAGGTCCTGAGTTCAATCCCCGGTACCAAAAAAAAAATTATAGTCACTTTCCGCTGCATATCCTTCCCACTCCCTCAGGACTGCTTTGTTGTTTTCTCTTCCAGTTATCACTCATTAGCTATATACTATATGTTTGCTGTTATGCATGTGCTCATTGACTCCTCTTTCTGGGAGCAATATTTTTTTTTTCTTTTGGTACCGGGGATGGAACTTGGGTCCTTGTGCTTGTGAGGCAGGCGGCAGAACCACTGAGCTAAATCCCTGGCCCAATACATTTTTTTTTTTTTGACTGTTACACTTTTCACTACCCAGAGAAGTTCCTGGCACAAAACAGATGGTTAGTAAGTATTTATTGAGTGAATAAAATAAATGACATAAATGAGGGGAAAGAATCATGCAGTGGAAGTTGAAACCTGCACAGGCAAGGACTTGAGTAGTAAATATATGTTTTCTTGACACAAGCTTAAATATCACATGGTTTCTTGGAGATAAAGAATGAGAGTGAGAGAGGAAAATAGAAGACAGAAACAGGAAGTAGGGAGAAGTTCAAGTAATTCCCCAAACTATCTATTCCATTGTTTCAAAACTATTTTAATATATATGCTAATTTCTTTCATTTATACTCCTAGCTTCTCTTAGCTCATTGAAAAGAAATGTTTGTGCTGTAATCTGTTTGTTTCTTTTTTGTAAGAGAGTCTTTTTTGTCTATGACTTGTACTCTAAGTAATATTTTGCCCATTCTTTTGAGATTATGGTACACTATTGTTATTCTCTAATTATTTTATTATGAAATTTTGTTTTTTTAATAGAAGATGTGTGCTTTTTAAATATTTTCTTTATTAATACTATCTACTTGTATTACATTAAAATTAAAAATAAAATTATCAAACTTAAAAAAATTTTTTTAAGCTTTATTTAAGAAGGAAAAGCTAAAGTGAACTAATGCCCAAATCATTCATTGAACATAATGAAATGCTCCTTAAAATCATATGTGGATTTGGGTATACACTGACATATAGTACTTTATGATCCCGTGTACAACTGTCTAACCAAGCTTTCTACCTTGGCTGGGCTTGAACTTGTAATCTTCCTGCCATAGCCTCCCAGAGTGCTGGCATTACATGTGTGTAACATCATGCCCAGTACAGTAAATGCTAATTTAAAAAATTTGTTTAATTGTATTCTTTTTGACAAAATTAATTTTTTTATTCATTAAGTTCATTGTTACATTGACAAAATTAATTCTTATGAGGTAAAGATCTTATTTTTGTCTCTTGTTCCTATTGTATAATAATGTCAAGTACATAATTATTTGGTTATTAAGTAATAAATCAGATTTCCAGTCTTACAAGTTTCGAATCTTTCACTTTCTTCCACAGCCAGGATAATTTTACCCTTGTATAGTGTCAGAAAAGGCCTAGGCTGTGGTTGAACCTAAATATTTTTGCTGTTTCAGGTGACATTTAGTGACGTGGCTATAAACTTCTCTCACGAAGAGTGGGGATGGCTAGATTCTGCTCAGAGGGATTTATACAAGGATGTGATGGTCCAGAATTACAAGAACCTAGCCTCTCTAGGTAAGGATATCTTCCCCTCCTCTGCAGTAGAAAAGATCTTTCTTTTGCACTCTGAATTGCTGGACAGTCTCCTAAGTAAATGGCTGAATTACTGTCCCATGTTCCCTAAAGCTCATCATCTCATTTCAGTGAACATCCTTCAACTCTTTCTGTGATCCCTTTTGTAATGGCCTCTCATCCTTGAGGACCACAGCTTAAACAAGTTCTGTGTTTTTTCTGTAAGCAGGTCTTTCCATAACTAAGCCACACGTGATCTCTTTACTGGAAAATGGAAAAGAACCCTGGATGGTGGAGAAAAAACTATCAAAAGGTATGCTTTGGGGTGAGTCATGTAATCAGGCAAGGTGCTTGTTGGGAGTGTGGAGGTATTTTAGGGATATTGTCTGCAGAGATCCCATATATAAATGAAACTGAGGGATCCTTAGTTTAGATTTACAAATTATTATTCCTCCATCCCAGATCATTATATGTCTCTTACTGATGTTATTTGATCAAAGGTGAAGGGTTATGCCATTGTTCTAATTCAAATTGTTTTATTTGAAACCAAAATTTTTTTCTTATATCCATTTAAGAAAATGGACTTACTGATGATTTTAAGGTAAGAAAAGTTATCAATTAAGTGAAAAATTACTATTTTCTTAAGTTTGAGTTTCATAGATCATATTAAGTGTTCAGAGGAATTAAGGCATGTATTAAAATATAAAATTTCTAGGAATGATATTTTCCAGTGTCCAGGAAATCGTCATTATTTCACACAGATACTACATAAACCCAGAAAGCCTAAATCTTTATAACCCCTAAGGAATAATATTTTGTTGTCATTGTAACTGTTCGATATAATAGTATAAATTCTGTATTTTAAGCATATTAATCTGGCAGCAAATTATGATTAATTGAAAGTGAAGGCTGTGATCATATAAAATGTGATCTTTCATACAAATATAGGCACAAAATGATGGCTTGGAATCCAGACTGCCTTTTACATTTTTTTCAGATTTTTCCCCATATACTGTTTATGTATATTTTATCCACTTCCCTTATCATACTGTATTCCTGCTTCTGGGAGCTGTCTGAATTCTCTGTTCCACCTGAGCATTGTTTAGAAATCATGGAAATATTTGAGTTGTCAACGCTTTGCTTGCTTTTTGAGATGGGGTCTCCCTGTGTTGCCTAGCCTGGCCTGGAGCTCATGATCCTTCCGCCTCATGTTCTTGAATTGCTTACAGATGAGATTACGGATGTGTGCCACCAGGCCTGGCAGAGCCATGTTTTCTAGGAGTTTTATTTCGTATTTAATTCTCCTATTTCCACCATAGAAGGTACTCTTCATGAACTATAGAAAAAGCAGTGGTTTGCTTTCTTGATATATTTCAGATTGGGAATCAAAATGGAAAAACAAGGAGTTATCAACAAATGATATTTATGATGAAGATTCATCCCAAGCTGTAATAATAGAAAAAAACTTTAAAAAAGGTTGTGAACTTTCAAATTTTAACAAGGACTCGCAATATATTGAGAAGATGGAGGGAAAACATGGACATCAGGTAGAACATTTCAGACCAGTGACCTTTACCTTTAGAGAAAGCCCAAGTGGGGAAAGTGTTTACACATATAGTACATTTAAAAGCATCTTCCATTTAAAGGCTGCTCTTTCTGAACCACAGATAATTTCTGCTGAAGAGAAACCACATAAACATGATATATTGAAGAAAAGTATACCCAAAAAGTCAGTTATAAAACATGAGAAAAGCAATGACAGAAATAAAGTTTTGAATTCTAGTGAAAGTGTGGCAGCTTTTAGCCAGAGCAAATCTCTTACCCTTCACCAGACTTGTAGTAGAGAGAGGATCTATACATGCAGTGAATGTGGGAAAGGCTTTGGCAAACAATCAATCCTTAATCGCCACTGGAGAATTCATACAGGAGAGAAACCCTATGAATGTCGTGAGTGTGGGAAAGCTTTTAGCCATGGTTCATCCCTCACTCGGCATCAGATAAGCCACAGTGGGGAGAAACCTTACAAATGTATTGAGTGTGGGAAGGCCTTCAGTCATGTCTCTTCACTTACTAATCATCAAAGCACTCACACTGGAGAGAAACCATATGAATGTATGAACTGCAGAAAGTCTTTCAGTCGTGTTTCACATCTCATTGAGCACCTGAGAATTCATACTCAAGAAAAACTTTATGAGTGTCAAATGTGTGCAAAGGCCTTCATTCATAGGTCATCTCTTATTCACCATCAGAAAATTCATACTGGAGAGAAACCTTATGAATGTAGCAAATGTGGGAAAGGTTTTTGCTGTAGTTCACACCTTACTCGACATCAAAGAATTCACACTATAGAGAAACAATATGAATGTGACAGATGTCTGAAAGTCTTTAGTAGTCTCTCATTTCTTACTCAACATCAGAGTATTCATACTGAAGAAAAACCCTTCGAATGTCAGAAATGTAGGAAATCCTTCAGCCAGCCTGAATCACTGAATATGCATTTGAGAAATCACATTAGATTGAAACCTTATGAATGCAGTATATGTGGAAAAGCCTTCAGTCACAGGTCATCCTTGCTTCAGCATCACAGAATTCATACTGGAGAGAAACCTTATGAATGTATTAAATGTGGGAAGACCTTCAGTTGTAGTTCAAACCTTACAGTACATCAGCGAATTCATACTGGAGAAAAGCCATATAAATGTAATGAATGTGGGAAAGCTTTTAGCAAAGGCTCAAATCTTACTGCCCATCAAAGAACACATATTGGAGAAAAACTCAATAGTGCAATGAACATGGAAAAATGTTTAGGCCTAATAAATCACTATACATGTCAGAAGTCATATGAGAGTAAAACTGTATAAAACAGTATTTGTTGTAATGAGCTTTAGCCACAGATAATTCAATATCAGAAAAAAATTTTTTGTCATCAGAAAATTTTTATTGAAAAGTATGGGAAGACCTTTAGTAATGATACAACCATTTTGTCTATAAGAGTTCCTACTGTAGAGAAACTATATGGTGACAGTGAATGTGGGAAAGCCTTTGTCAGTTTCAATTCCTTAATTGACACAAGTAAATCCACACTAGAAAAAAAAAAACTATACATATGAGAAAGACCATAGGAAATAGGAATTTCTTAAAAACTTGCGCAGTAGACAAGTTGTAGGAACATAGAAAATTAATAATGTGTGGGAAATCCTCCAGTTGAAGTACTCCCTCACACTGGAGAGAAATCTGACATAAGCAGAGTGTTCACTGGTGTTTATCTTGCTAGACGTCAGAGTTCTACAACAACATAAAGGATATAAGAATTATGTGTAAATCTTTGCAGTGGTACTATTTGTAAACAAAATTCTACAGGGAGCAGACAAATCTTACAGCAGTAGCTTGCAATTTGAGTCCTACATAGAAATTATTTTTAGCTAATGGTCATGTGAAGATACTTAGTAATCCACTGGATACAATACATGTTATAATGTTAAAAATGAAAGCTGCGAAAGAAGAATGTTATTAAATTTTTGGTTTCTAATAAAATTTTGTACATAAGGAGCTTTCACAGTGACTATTTCTTGCAAAAATTTTCACTACTTAAATAACTAATTTTAGCCATAATTTTAGCTGGTTAGTGGAAGATGACAACCTAGAGAAAAATGGTCTGTAGTAAGAATATCATTATTTTGGTGAGGATAATTTCCAGTCCACTTTGAGTCAGCTTGATTCACTACCTGAAGAATATTTGTTGAGCATCACTCATATGTATTATACAGTACTGTGGGTTAGGATATAATAATGCTGTTGCTTACTGAACTTAGTGATATTTCAGAGTCAACAGGAAAGCTTGTTAAACATTGATTGCTAAGCTCCAACCCCACAGTTTCTGTTTCAGTTGGTTAGAGGTGAAGGCAAGAATTTGCATTTTTCACAAATTCTCAGGTGACACTAAAGCTGTTTGTCCAGAAAGCACGTTTGATGACAGATTTATCCTTTTCTCATGGATGACAGCTGACAAAGGGTAAATAGCAAATAAATTTCAAACAACTTTTTCAAGTATTGTGAGATGATTAAGAGATTCAAGCAGACTGACCTGTCGGTGTGTGGATGAGCACTCAACACATGTAATGAGTATTGATTAATTAGGCAGCTATGTGCATCTATGTATGTGCACCTCTGTGTATGCACATGCATGTGCATGTGCTCGTGTGTGTGTGTGTGTGTGTGTGTGTGTTTTGGGTGGTATTCTGTGTAAAGCAGACTGGCAAGTTCTGTTACACTCACTGAGGCCGGACCTATGTCCCAGTATCTAGTTTCAAGTCCTGTGGCTTTGAAGTTTTACTTCTGGCAGAAGCATTGGTAACAGCAACAGTAATTTCTCCATCCCTGGGTCATATTTATGCAGGTTTACCTTGAAATCTATAATCCAAAAGTTGACTCCATTCCTTTTCCAGCTGGTTTACCAATTTTGAAGGCATTAACTTCCTGCAGTGTATGTCTTCTTGAAATACCTAAGGGAGTTTTTGTTTTCTGCCCTGAACTTTGACCAATAATTATGGTTTTGTAAGGAGAATGGCTTCGTGTATTCTAATTTCTAGATAAAAAATGGAATAGTCTCAGTGTCCCAGTGGCTTCCTAGTTGGTGACTAGAAAGATAGTACAGATTAATGTGATGGGTGCATGGACGCTGAAGAGGAAATGACAATTATATAGGGTGTTTCTCAGGGTTTGTTCTTTATGGCATTTGAGAGTTTATCTCTAAATGACAGGGTTCTACCTGACACAATTATATGTCAGTGGTATTCTTTAACTCAATTGAGGAACAGTAGTATCCACGTCTCAGTCATGTCTGGGGAATGCTTACCATAGGCACAGCTCTGGTTTTCACCAAGACAGGTTTGTAAAGAAGTTAGATGGCTATAAGCAACACTAACTTAGACCTCAACACTAATCAGTCCCAGACAGAGAGCTGCATTTCCCTCACAATTCCAGCAGGTCCTCGGTGCTGCTCACTGACTTCGCTTAGGGAACATGGCCATCCCTGAAGCAATTGTTACATGTGCAGTTTGAGTGCTGTGAATGCCAGGCTTGAGGCATATGTTTAAGAAATACTTGAAGAGTGAATATTGAATAAATGGACTGATGAATGGATATACTCCTTCCTTCACTGTTGGCCACAAAGTCCTTTTCGGACCTTTCTCCATATCTACTAGGAAATTGACCTCTACAGATCTGCTTAGTCCTTTTAAGGATACATGACCAGACATCAGAGGTATATTTGTAAATTTCAGTCAAGACAAGGAGACAAAGATGGATCCTTTTGGTCACATCTACAACGTGAAACGTCATAGATTATGAATCACCTTGAAGAGTCTGATGAAGTTACCTAGTTGAGAAAATTCAAAAGTTTCAACATTGTTCTTGTGGGTAATATGGAAAATGTGAGTATTCATAACTACCCTCCCATTTGTTGAGAAAATACTGACACTGCCTGGCTGCCATATTGACTAAACAGATCACATGCCACAGTTAGAAAAGTACCTTGTTTCTCTAGGAACCTTTAAGAAAAATTCCCCTTCTAGCACTAGTCCCCTTGAACCTTTTTCTGTATGTGGCTGGGTCCCTAATACAAAATACATTTGTGAGCCAGGCATGGTAGTGTACACCTGTAATCCCAGTACCTGGGAGGCTGAGGTACGGTGAGCCTAGGCTACAAAGGGAGTTCAAGGCCAGCCTGAATGACAGCAAGACTCTGTCTAAACAAAAAAACAAAAAACAAGAAAATTGTTGAGTTTTGAAACTCACAGATAGAGCTATATTCAGCCAACTTTCAAGGTAGCAGAGAGAATTCAGCCTGTAGTCCAGCCATAGAAGTGGGAAGATGATGTTAATTTCAATAAAAGAATTTAGGAGACTTGATGGAGGAGATTCCAGGTAAGGTATTCAGGGGGAAACATGGAGAACGGTGTGCTCTGTTGGTTGAGAAAATAGGCAAATGTGTGTTAACACTGATGAGGGGAGAAGCAGAACCTCAGTGCAGCCTACAATAAAGGTTAAGAGAGCCTGTCTAGCTAAAGTCAGGTTCAGTATTGTGATGTGAATGAGCCCATATGTTGGATAGGTCAAATAGTCAAAGCCCATGAGTTCCTTTTTTGAAAATATCTCCCAAGCCTAGACTCTCAGAGGTGACCAAAGACCAAGGAAATGGAAAGAGTAAAAGTACTCTTCAAATATGTAATAAGGGCTATTTACAAGGGCTAAATGTGGCTGCTCGCATAGAGTACTGTACAGAGATTTGAGTTCTGATGACTTGTTTCCCATCTTTATATGCTTAAGGATGTGAGCCCCTGATGGCTTTTGTGGACTTCAACTCTTGATTCCAAGCAGAACATCCATCCATATAGTTTGAAGTCAGGAATCGCACGCAGTAAAAGAGAACCTGAGACTAGGTGTACCAATACAACTCAAGGTAATAGAAATATATTAGACCTGTAGGATAAATTACTGGTTATAAACCTATGGGAAATTCTCTCCTTAGAGATACAAACAGGAATATTTTCCCACCACATGGCCTATAATAGCTGAGGATTCTTGCTTTCTTCTCAATAAGCCTTTTTAGGAGGAGTTCTATTCTTATTTGGAGATCAGAACTCTTGGTGAGGGAAATAGCTCCAGCCAATATATAGGTTCTGCTGATTCAGCTGCGTCTTAAGGTTTTCATTTTAAAATTAATTTCCTATACTTACAAAGTCAAAAGGTACAACCTTAGCTTCTGATCGAAGTGGAGTATGATTTACTCCTTTGGTTCAAAAAGTATAAATCCACACATAAAGGGTGAAAAATGGTTCTCAAGACATTGCACACTAAGCAAGGGATATTGATTTCTGAGATAGGGAGAATAAAATAAGCCTTAGAGATGCTTCATTGTTCTTTTGGAGAAAGTTTCAGTGGATATGCAATCAAGATGGAATCTGGAAGTCCCCTTAAGGCATGAGGATACAATCACAAATACGGGGAAAGCCAAGGTATGTGTCATTCACAGGGCAGGATGCTGATGGGGCTATACATAGCATCTCAGAGATCTGTAAACAGCCCCCCTTCTATATTTATCAGTACCAATGAGTATGTGAGGAAGTTATTATAGAACAGGAAAAGGGACACCAGAAAGATAAGTGAAACTAGTGCACACCTGAATTCCCAGCACTCTGGAAGGCTGAAAGAGAGTTCTAAGTTCAAGATCACTGTCGGTAACTTAGCAAAATCCTGTCTCAAAACAACAGAAACTGGAGATGTAGATCAGTGTAAAGGCTTTGGGTTCAACCCTCTGAACCAAAAAACAAAGCAAAACAAAATACTTCCCAGATATCAAAGTTGTCTCCAAATATATCTGTTCTACTAGTCAAAGCAGAGAAACATAATTCCTAGATATCAGTAACATTCTCCCAAGATTTTAACATAGCAGTATTAACCCTAGATGAAAATTCTCTAGTCTTCCCTAAATGCAGGCCCAAGGAGCTTAAATGCAAGTCTAAGAAGGATTAAACTTTCCTAGTCAATTAACTGTAGCTTGTAAAAAAGCTTAAGGAATATTTACAAGAGCTCAGTGTGGTGGCACATGCCTGTAATCCCAGCATTTGGGAGGCTGAGGCAAGAAGATCACCAGGAGTTGGAGGCCAGCCTGAACTACATAGCAAGACCCTGTCTCACAAAACCAGAATGAAAAAAATTTGTTTTTACAAGACCACAAAAATATTTCCAAGCTACAATGTCTGACATTCAATACAAAATAAGTAGGAATAAACAGAAGCAGGCAAAGTAAGAAGAAAAATCAGTCACTGGAAACAGGCTCAGAATGACAGACACTAAAAGTAGAAGGCATTCAAATGGAAAAATTATTCTTCCATATATCCAAGAAGCTAGAAGAAAGACCGAACATGTTAAGTAGACATACTAAAAACATAAAAGATCTAATCTGCGAGCTTTAAAAGCAATAAATTATGAGGGCCAGGGATGTACCTCGGTGGCACCATGCCTGCCTGATAAGTGCAAGGTCCTGAGTTTGATCCCCAGTACCAGGGGAAAAAAATAAATAAAAGCAATAAATTACAAATATACTGGATGTGACTAAGAGTAGAATAGACACTGCAGAGGAAAAGATTAGGAAATCGGAAGCTGTAGCAGTAGAAACTTAAAATGAAACTGGGTGGCCTTATAAAAATAAATGAGTTGTATCATTTCTGTAATTGTATAATGTATTTCTTTGTGGTTTTAAGTGCTAAAGACATTAAGTTAACAAACATAAGAAATGTATGCACTGTTTGAAATGTAAATTATTTTTAGAACACTTTCAGTGGGAGTTGCATTGCCCTTTTAGTGCCTTAATTTAAGAGAATTATTTTACTGCCACAGGTAAGTATAGAAATTGAAAAAAAAGTATGGCGGGGGGGGTTTCAAAAAATTATGTGTGTCAGTGGGTGTTTTCATTGATAATTGGTTTAATTTAAAATATTTAGAGGTTTGTTAGATTTTCATAAATTGAGTACAATCTTTTCAAAAAAACTAC